ATATACAATGTCACAAAAAATGTTTGTTTAAGTAGTGACTAATTAAAAATATTTATGAAATTTTATGAATTAATTATCACATTGATCCTTATTTTATTGGAGAAAAAATTAAGTCAACTAAAATTTGAATAGAGCAAGCATATATACTACTAACAATAGCCAAAAATCTTATTTTAATTCTAACTTAAAATTCTAATAATCTATTAATTTTAGTCCTAATTAAAAATCACATGCTAAACCTAATTAAAATAAAACTAAAAGACTCAATGCAAAAACAAACAATCTTAAAACTAATAATTAAAGAGGCCTTCTATGCTCCTGCTTTATATTTTTAGTTGAATAAAAAATTTCATTACTTGAAGTACAAAGGTTGCACCTGCTTCAATTGAATTTTAAAGAAAAAAAATAATAAATTTGGTTAGTTAAATAAAAAAAAAAGTCCAAAACTGAACCAAACGCTGAACAACCCAACCTACAGCCCATGGTGAATTCTTTAAGAGAAAGAGTCCATTTCCGTTACCTAAAAACCATCAATATTAAAAAAAAAAATGATACAGTACCGACAGCTGTCTTCCATTCACCTTTCTTCATGATAAACATCACTTGAGGAATGCTACGGGCAATCGCCACCAGCAATCGCCAACGAACACCCGCTTAATGGCTTTTCCACGTCACCATCACTTTAGATGAGTTACTGGAAACTTAGAATAGCCGGTTCCTTTATTTCTTTTTGGAATTGTGCAATCATCTGACGTCCTTCGTACTTGTTATTTGGACAACACTCCATCACTTTACGATGCTTCTTAGGTATGGAGGAAAAGCTTAAGGTAAATGACATATTTAATTATTTAGTGATTTTTCAAATTATAAGAATTTTGTGCAATCATGAAATTTCATTTATTGAACTCATTTAGTTTTTATATGCAGGTGTGCAAGAGCTTCAAGCATGGAACACTTCTGAAAAAAAAGTTCACTTTTGTTTTTAAAGGATATATAATGTTCGCCTTGTTGTTAATCTATTTGATGATGAAGTTATGATATGTAAGAATTTTATCTTGTGATTAAGTTATAAAATATTTACCTTTCAAAATTATTTTTG